CCAATCATGTCATATTGTCTCTCTCTTTCTCTTCTATTCTGCATTGCTAGATAAGGAGACAATAATTTTGAGAACTTATCAAAAGCAATTTGACCATGTTCTTCAGGCCCCAGTGAGGATTGAACTCACGACCCCTGGTTTACAAGACCAGTGCTCTAACCACTGAGCTATGGAGCCAGGCACAATGTCAATCAACTTTTACAAGACAGAGAATGGGATTCTTTACATCTCATCTTTGTGTTGGTATTCTGACACAACTGGCAGGATTGCTCAGAATGACACAGTGCTTTACATTATATTATTATTATGTTGTTGTTTAAGTCAATAAAGAATTTACTAGTAGTATAAAGCCAAAATCCAAAAAAACCCATTTTAATTACTTTACACTTTCAGTGATGAGAAATTTAGCTACAGTGGATTTCTTAACCGCATCTGATCAATCAAATCAAAGCAGAATATAATCCACAATGGCGATTGAGTGAAATTAATCGAAAAGGAATTTACATTTGATATGAGTTTGTAGGTCGCTCTGCGTTCCTCAACACAGCAAGGCAAGGCAAGTTTATTTATATAGCACATTTCAAACACAGTGGCAATTCAAAGTGCTTTACATAAACAAGAGTAAAAAAGACAGGTTTAAGAACATAAAAAACAAACAATAAAAATTATTAAAAACAGATTAAAATACGTTAAAACAGGTTATAAAACAATGAAATAGAAAAAGAAAAACACAATAGTATGATCTGTCGGACGTAGCACAGTGCTCATTCGGTAAAGGCACAGCTAAACAGATGTGTTTTCAGTCTTGATTTAAATGTGCCTAATGTTGGAGCACATCTGATCATTTCTGGAAGCTGATTCCAGCAGCGAGGGGCGTAGTGGCTGAAAGCTGATTCACCCTGCTTTGATTGAGCTCTTGGAATTTCTAGTTTATTTGATACACTCCAGCAGATATCACTAACAACATTGTTTCAAGTTAAAGACTTTTGGTTGGTTGTAACAGATGACCACTCCACACATGGCTGTGTAGGTCAAAGCATGTCTCTAGTGATTATTTAGGGGACAACCAAGATTCAGTTTTTGACCTAAAGTGGTCCACTAAAGACATATATCACCACTTTCAGTGCCTGGTTATCTGAAGATGTCAGCTGTGTCCTGGGAGTAGCTATTCATTTGACTGAAGCCAGTATCTGCAAACACACACACAGAATTCACAGCTTCTTCAAGGTTGAATGGTTTTGGCCTGTACTCTTATCAGGGACTTTCCCAAAACATACAGACAGTGAGTGCAGTTTCTCGGAGGGATAGAAAAAGCAACTTAATTCTTTAGTTTAGGTTTATGGGGGTATTAAATGTTTCTTAGATTTTATTATGGTATACAGTATTATTACAACATTCACCTATGCTGCAAAAATGTTACAATAACCAATTAAAACAGCGTATTGTTTTATTCTAATACATATTCAGAGTAAAGAAATATTTTACACTAATTACATTTCAAAAGGATGATAAAGTTGATGCTCAATTTAATAAAGAAGCTATGTTGTTGGTTGTTGTGGGTAGGGTGCAGTTGGTGCCCCCTGATAGTATCTCTGTGCGTGGGTCCTTTTCGTCCTAACTTAACCAACTTAGTGGTGACCCTGACATGAGCTCAACTATGTCTAGATGGAAGAATATTTCTGCTTAGCACATTAAAAAGCACACTAGTACTGAAATATTGCAATATATATTGAGATATAACTAATAGAAAATGTATGATACCAAATAATAAAATAAGATACATAATTCCACATCACACGAAAAATAGGCCCACACAGAATCTGCATGCGCAGAAATCAGCAAATTTCCACAGATTTTTGGCCAATAATGAAGTCTATTAATTTACTTGTGTAAATGTGTGTAAATTTATATTTATTTAGTTTTAAAATTAATTTCAGTCATATTATTGACTAATATGAAAGTGTTCATATGATTTATTTACAATACAGTTTGTAAAGTAATATTTTCTGGCTTTTAGTAGCTTTATTATAAGATAGATTGCTTTGTTTACCAAATAAGTGGATCTAGATGAATTTTCATTGTAAACATTAATTTTTAAAAGTTGAAAAGGTATTATTTTTATTTCACATATTAAGTTACGATACTTGATCATTTTACAATAAAATTATTCCACATAAATCATAAATCTGCAGATTAAAAAAAAACAAATTTCAGCAAAAATAGCAAAAAAATGTCCACAGATTCTGTCTAGGTAACACAACAGTTAAGCCTCATTAGTAAACAATAATACATTCAAATCAACAGTGAGAAAAAACAACATATTAATTATTGACTGCATTTTAGAAAATATTTATGACTTTTGATTTTAATGCATTATTTTTACTTTTTAACTTTATTTCTAGATTGTTTTGTGAAAACATAACATTAAATAGTGTATAAAATGCATATTTATTAACAAAATGTTATCAGTTTTTTACCCCATCCCAATTCCCCCCTCCTTCCAACCAGAACATGCATCAAAATCATTTGCAAACAATGCAATACAATGATTAGGCGGCACAATCTATGTCAGCCAGACTAATGGAATAATCAACAAAATAGAATGACAAGTAAAAAGGAAGAAAAAATCAAAGAGACACTGTTAAAATATATATCCAAGTAAAGGGCCTCATATTTTCATCTTCAGTTTGCCAAATCTATAGTGAAACGTAACCCTACCAGCTTGAGGGCAGAAACATCAGCTAACCATTTAAAACTTGGAGGTGGTTATTAGGCTTTAACTAAGATAAATATAAACTTCACCTAAGATTAATAAATGTTTTTGTGAGTTTTGATTAATTATCTGATGTTAATAAATGGAGCCTTGCACAGTGCTCACTAACAATAAATATTCACAGAACATACAGTCAATACCTCCTGCAGCAAGAAGTTGGTGATGTGATGAGTATCTACTTCCAAATCAACAATTCAAATATGCTTTAAAGACACTCTAAAAGTTTAAACAATGTCATTTTTTACATTTTGTTTTAGTTTTTTAAGTGCCGATGAGAACAATAATGTGTGTGTTTCTAACAATGGTATATTGAATATCTGCATGGCAGACCCCCTAGAATTTCACAAAGCTCGAGCTATTTACATGTGATGGAAATGCAAAGATGCGATTAGACATAGTGGTGGAAATTCATTTATATTCTTAGATATATCACATATATAAGGTTAAGACACCTAACATAAACATAAAATGGCCTGATAGGAAGCCAAAATTGAAGTATAGACAAGTAAGAATCCAATACAGGGAAAAGATGACTATAATCCATGATGCATGTTTATAGTGATCTCGTAAGCAGTACAGGGGAGAAACCAGATAAAAGGGAGAGCACACTGTGTTCAGTGTCACTTGCATTCTACACAAACTGTCGTTGCTGTATGATTGTGACCTTCTGTGCAAAGAATAAAAGCTTTAACAGACACTTTGGGTAAGACATTGGGCCCTATCATACACCCGGTGCAAAGCGCGACGCAATTGTTGTTTGCTAGTTTCAGCTCGGCACAAGAGTGGTTTTGATATTTTGCGCCACGCTGTTTAAATAGCAAATGCATTAGCGCTTCCCTATCCACGAGAGTGAAAGCGAAAGTACGCAATGAGGAGGCTCATCTCTCATTCTCTCGCTGTAGATGCTCTGTTTAACTGTTTTCTCTCTAGTGAAGTGTTCAGTTTTTCCAATAACAAAGTCCGCCATGTAAATAGATCTCTAAAAAACCTGAGATTCTATTGTTAGTAAAGAAATTACTCAACTGGCCATGGGTAGGGAGCACCTGGGAGAGCTGAGACCCTATTTGTGGAGTCCTGACATCCGCAACATTGACTCTCTCCCTCTGTTTAAATGCTCATCTGTTCAAAATGAATTAATCTTTTTTTAACTGCATACTACATTCTGTATCGTCTTTTATTTGATCATCTTCTCTGTTTTATACTGTTGGTTCACTTTTAAATTATTAAATTATGTATCTGATGTATTTAAAATAATTGAATTGTGTGTGTTTGTGTGTGTGTGTATGTATATATATATATATATATATCCTATATATTGTACAGTAACATTGGGTTTCTTGAAAGGCGCTTTAAATAAAATGTATTATTATTAATATTTAAAAATGCAAAATTTTAAAATAAAAAATGCATGGAACTTAGCAAATAATTGAAATTATTATTGTTAATAATTTTAGTATTTAGCCTACTGTTTGACTTCTTAATTATTTATCACCATCCAGCACCGCACACATCTCTCAGAGAACCATAGATAGGCAAAACCATGTGCTTAAGCATGTTCAAATAGTTTGCAATTGTTGTTCATTTTGGAGGTAAAGTCGTGTTACAACTGCTGTCATCTGTTCAGCAATATAATTTTTATTTTATTTTTTTATTATAATGCAAGATAGAACATTAAAAAAGATATAGCGATGAACAAAGAGGGTTACATAAATAAAATCCCAGCCAACTAAACAAGTTTAAATGATTTAAACCAAGAAAGAGTTTTACATGCAATATTAGCTATTTCTGAAAATAAAAAAGAAAGCCAAAACTGTTCCCAGTCTGTCATCAAATATATTATTTCAAAAACCTATGAACTGTTAATAACCAAGCGAATATCTTTGTTTGGCATAGAACTGAGAAGAGTTTGGTCAACAAAAATGTTTGTGTTGTCAAAAATAAAATAATCTAAAAAACCTTTGAGGCCAGATTTGAGGAAAGGTAAAACACAATTATGGCTTGCACAAAAACTACGGCATATTTTTTTCGGGGAACAGGAAAAGAAACTGTCGAATACATTTTTCAGTTTAGCAGTCTATGGTTCAGACCGTTCAGACACGCTCAGTCACAGTCATGTCATAATTTGACGATACACAGACGCGGATTGGACAGCCCAGCAAGAAGCTCTTTTTAACACGTACTGTGATTGGTTGATGCACATGCCTGTCAGAGGGTATTATGGGATAATTGGCCAATGAAAGCTCTGATGGAGATCCGAGTTTATGGTTTGGCCGCCAGACTTTTTACACTACAATACACACAGAGCAAGATTACTACACGTTGGTGAGTAACTAATATTTTGTATTTATACAAATAAATAGCTATTTTACATCACCTATTTTTTTTTATTTAAAACTGTATTTAATTTCGATGGTTATTAAACATAGGATTATATGGAATTAAATAAATAATACTTCACTGTCGATTTTGTAATTAAATTGCTGTGCGCTAGATTACATGCTGTATTACGAAATTAATTTTTAGAAACAAAACAGATGGTTGATTATCTGTGCAAGAAGAATGAGGGAGTGAAACCTTTGTTGCTATTTTATCCTTCAGACATGTTTCTCGTCCGTTAGACCACATCCCCTTTTCGATTTCTTGACACGCCAGGTTGCCTAAACCAAATGCCTTGCCTTTTTGTTGATGATCAAATAACGTAGGCACACTGTAAACTTAATGAGAATATGTTTCAAGCATTAATAAATTGACATCACTCAGTCTACTTTTTATCACTGTAGTAATTTTTTAGCACGCTGTAATTGAGCTAAAAAAATCATCTTGTGAGCACAGAATTAGAAAGGTCCCAGCCGGCATTTCAACGGTGATTCAACGTTGAATCAACGTCAGGTCTATGGTTGGATCAACGTTGAATTACCTTTCGATTTTGCAAATTGGATCAACGTTTATATAGTGACGTTGTTTCACCGTCGGACCACCACCGGTGATTCACCGTTGAAATCACAACGTTGTTTCACCTCTTACCTTCTTCATGGGTGAATTGTGGTCGTTTTGTAGACGTTGAATGAAGGTTGAATTACCTTTCGATTTTGCAAATTGGATCAACGTTGATACCGTGACGTTGTTTCACCGTCATACATTTCAACGTAAGTTAAATAGAAATTACATACAACGCAAAGTCCATAAATATAGCAAACAATTTTTTACTAATAAAAAATACACGACACAAATACACAACTTAGTCTGTGTATCAATTTATTTAATACACACCTCATTATTTCATTTATTCTAAATATACAGCAACATTTACAGCATACATAGTTCATTAAAACCATGCAGGTTACTATACATGCTGTACAGTCAAATACAGAAAAAAGGCATACAATTAAATAGTCACTTTTTAATTAGGTTTCATGAATTAAAGTTAATGTTTACTAACATGAACAAAGAACAAATACTTGTACAGCATTTATTAGTCATTTAATTAATTGAAATATGTCCCGATGCTATTAAAATCAAAATGTATGCTTGTGAACATTAATGCACTGAGCTGACATGAACTGTACTTTTTTATATGAAAGATGCTTCATTGCTCTTTGTTCTTGTTAGTAAATACATTAACACTTACTAATACAACCTTATTGTAAAGTGTTACCGTCTTCAGAAAGACAGATACTAACTAAATTAAACTAAGTAACTAAACTACGCTTCAACCATCACAGTCTCCAAAATACAATTCCGTTTACAAAGTTTACAAAATACCCATTTTTAAAGTGGCTGCAGTAAAAAAATAAATTAAAATACATCACTCACAACTAAGAATCACAAGTGAAATACATTACATCTGTTTGAGGTTTTATAGGTTGAGAGAAACACTTGAGGTAAAAGATGGCACTGGGGACAAAGAATCAAGTGTAAAACACTAAAACATCTATATCAGTCTAGCACTTAAATACATATTTATTTCTCAAACACCAGGTGAGTTTCCTACAAAATCAATAATGAGGTTTGCTATTCCAATTCATTGTAAATGAATGGCTTCACTTTCACAATAGTGAAAACTCATGCTATAATCTAAACCTGACATTACTCCTTCACTTTGCATGCTAAATATTTAGTAGTTTTTTTTTTTTTTTGTATAAAGTACATCTATTGTGTTTAGCATTACTGCAGCAAAACTGAGCACCTGTGACAGTGGAACATAGACAAATATTTCAGTAAATCATCAAGAAAATGTGTAGAATATATGGTTTGATTCTCTCTTACAAACACAACAGTAAAAGCAATTTGTTATTCCATTATTATTATTAGTATCATAAAAATTGCATGTTCACAGGGGTCTTATAATAATGGCTCACATTTGTGAATGTAGGACCACTATTTCACTATTACATGTCACATTAAGTGTTCATATAGGTTCTGTTATTAATTACTTGTGTCATACCAGAGACTTGTTAATCTTCAGAACACAAACTAAAATATTTTAGATTAAATGCCTCATCCTATACAGACAGCAATGGTCCCAAGATGGTCATTGTCAAGATAAGGCACAAAACACATTGTCAAAACGTTCCATGTGACTTCAGTGATTTCAACTGTGAACATACCAAGCTCCAACAACACTTTAGTGAGGCAAAACAAAACAGTAAATACAAATGTGTTTGCATATATCTCTCCCGCATCAGATCAGCGTGTGTTTACTACGAGCAGTATGCACACACCATGACCTGTTGTGGCAAAGGCAAACAAGTTATTTTTACAGTACTTACTGTGATTTAACCTTTATGACAAATGTACTGGACCTGTTACTATACCTGATATATCACTATCTTTTATGAACACAAATTTCACTGTAACGGGTGCTGTTGTTTTGCTCCAGTTACACCTTTAGAGAACACCGTACTAGTCAGACATCCATACAAAAGCAGAGAGTTTGGTCTTGTGTAGCAGAACTGCAATAGATGTCTGTCTGTCTAGGCTGACACTGGTTTAGGCCATCAGTATGTCCTTGATGCCCTCAAATGGAGCTTCCAGAAAACCTGCAATAAATGAAATACGAGGTTACAACTAAGTTGGTATCAGCTATTATACAAAGTGCAATTCAAATATTTATTTTTATTGAATCTAAATTTGTCCTATAATATCGCCACACTCAATAATTTTGACTCATCCATCTGAATATTCCTAACTAAGAGAAGTGAAGAATTAGGTGTGATGTCGTCAGGAAGCCCTTCGCCACCACCGGTGCCAGCATTTCCAGAATTCAAATTTCAGATTCTTAAAAAAATTGCTTTTTTTTTTTTTTTTTTTTTTTAACCAAGGCTGCAGTAAAGAATCATGAAACATTCAACACATCTAATAATTACAAGTTGTTGTAAACAATTACATGTACTGTAAAAGCTGTTTGAAGCTTTTTAGACAAGGTTGAGAAAAACTCTAGAAGGAGTAGCACTTCTGTAAAAGTCTGCATATAGGACAGAGAATAAAAGGGATAGTTAAAAATTTGTATTCTGTCGTCATTTACTGACCACATTGAACACAAAAGAAGATATTTTGAAGAAAGCTGCATATCTATTTAACCATTGACTTCTATAGTATTTTTTTCTACTATGGAGGTCAATGTTTACAGGTTTTTTTTTTTTTCAGAATAGCCTCTTTTGTGTTCAACAAAATAAACTCATAATGGTTTTAAACCATTTGGGGAGTAAAATGTGAGAAAATTTTCATTCTTGGGTGAACTATCCCTTTCAGTTGGAAAACACCAGAATTCTTAAGTAGACCCTTTTCGCAAGACAGATGATGCATTTCATTTGTCATCTTAATCCTCAAGTTTTTAATATTTAGATTTAAATAGCATGTTTATTTATTTGTTTTAATGACATTTAATAAAACAACTTCTCAATGACATCACATGTACTGGACCTGCTACACATGTATCACTATTTTTTTGAATACAAATTTCACTGTAACGGGTGCTGTTGTTTTGCTCCAGTAATACCTTTAGAGAACACAGTAGCAGTCAAGACATCCATACAAAAGCCTTGGCATGGAGTAGCAGAACTGCAGTCTGTCCAGGCTGACACAGGTTTAGGCCATCTGCGTGTTCTTGATGCCCCTCAACTGGACCTTCCAGAAAACTCAGAAAGTTAAAACCCATTACACCTTTTATCTGCTACTAAACAAAGTATAATTTAAGCATTAATTTCTCACTAAATACATATTTGTTCCCCAATACTGTCACATAGTATAACATCACAACATGATTTCACAATAATAATATCAATATAACAATATAATATCACAACATAGCCTAACAATCAATAAACAAACAGATTAGAAAGAGAATATCACCAACCAAAGCACCAAGAAGATTTAACAGATAGTTAAAGGTAAAGTAAACTTACATGGACAAAGCCTTTTCCATTCAATGCTGTGCAAGTTAGTGCGTCTCTGGAGTAAGTTACATGTCTAAAAGCAAAAACAACAACAACAACAGTGAAACGACAGCAGTTAACTTTGTAATAATAACACTAATAATACAGCGTATAAAATGGATATTGTTTTATAACGTTGCTCAGTAACTTTAAACTGCGTTTGGAGTTTATCGCTTTGAATTTGCCATAAAAACGCTCATTTAGACTAACGTTGAACATGTGACATTACCTCGAGGTTAGCTGCGCGTCACCGGAGCGCAAACAAGACTAAAAACAAACTGGAAAGTTTTAAATGCTTCAAAATTCGAAACACTACACCTCAAAAGTCACGTTTAAGATACACTGACAAAATCGGGGGGTAAATAAAACGTTAAAGCATCTAAAAACACGCTTACCTCTGAATTCTGCTGCAGGTCAGGTGTTCGTAATTAAGTGAAGTGAAGCGCTGCGCGTGGCCGCGTGCGCGGAGTCCTCCAATACCATGGTAACCAAACATGTTGAATGTTGGGTGAAGCCATGACGTTAATTCAACATACAGATCATGATAAAAAAATGTCAACGTTGATTTGTACAACGATTTCTGTAACTTTTTCCAACCATTTATCATTCAACATTGTTTCAACATTAAAGCAACAACTGACATATTTTCAACCACATTTCAACGTTGAAGCCTTGTCATATGCAGGCTGTTTTTCAACCATTCAACATTAAACGTTCTATCAACATTATTTCAACGTTCAAAACACAACTGACCTTATTTCAACCATATTTCAACGTTGAAGGTCGGTCGTGTGCCGGCTGGGGTAATATTAATTAATATTAAACAATATTAATTCATGTTTATTATATTGATAATAATAATAGGATACAAAATAAGAATTTTGTACTTTCAGCCAAGAAACACAGATTTGGAACTCGTGACTGAGAGTGTGAAATAAAGTCAGTAACTATTAATTTTTTTAATTAATAAAAGCACCGTAAAATAAGTAATTTGTCCATGACATATTACCTTTATCAGATTATTCATGATGTAGCCCATGTAGGCCTGGATTTTTTGTTTCTTCAGCAACAAATAACAACAACAGACCTTTTTTGTTTACAAAATGGGTGCTTGAAATATCCACACTAAAGTTTACTTGGACAAACATTCGTATAAAACAATCTGTAAGTACTCAAGAAAACAATTTTCAATCTTAACACACTTGTTTACTTATAAGTCATAAATGACCCAGTCATAATTTTAGCTGCAAAAAAGATCTAATTAATGTTTTTAACTTAAAGGTGATTTTTACCAAAATGAAACCACCGCTGGAAAAAAATAATCATTTATATTTTCAAAAAGACTGTACACATTTAGTGTATAACAGTTGGCTTACTATTTTTACACCACCAGTACTATTGTCACACACACACACACACACACACACACACACACACACACACACACACACACACACACACACACACACACACACAATAATAATAATAATCTGCTTCTTTAACATTTATGAATACTGTCTTGCTACTACACCAACTACTACACTATTGGCGCCAACGTGTCGTCAGCTTTGAAAACATTAGTTGATTACCTGAACTAAAATGTCTGAAGTTGAGTGAACAAAAAAACTCTTCTGGAAAGCGGTAAGAAATAAAACATTATCAGAGCAAACAAACATAATCAATTGAAAAAAAAAAAAAAAAAACTAAAACAGAGACAAATGTTAACAAAACATTTATTAAACAAAGAATTGGAAACAGGACAGGAGGTAAAACAACAATAATGGTAAACAGGAAAAGGGTCAAAACATGGCAGAACAGGGAAAATGCTTTGTAATGCTTCACTGTGAAGCATGCCTTCCTGCTTTTTTTATTCATTTAATCTATGTTTACTCAACTTTAGGCATTCCAGTTCTGCAAACAACATTTTTTTAGTTGTAATCTTATGTTAGCTCAACTTAATATTTTGTATTACTGACAAATATTTTTAGGTCAGTGCAGCTGATGTTTTCAAAAGCTAGTGTATGTTCTGGTCCTCCATGTTGGGGGTTGATTGTTGGACTAACAACCAACGTCATAAAAACTAGATACCAGTATAGTGTGGCTGAATATCAACTTCAATGAAAATTGTCGCTGGGAAAAGTAAATAAGTCTTGTTAAAACTATTAGCACATTTACATGGTCTTTTAGCATTAGAAATATGCCTTTTACTTTAGTCAAAAATGAAGGCTGCCCACTGATCAAACATTGACACAATACTTCACACTTATGGGGGAAAACATTCAGCATTTGTGATGAAAATGAGATTGTTTCTGTATGCATAATTGATTTGTGGATTGCAATGAAATGTAGCTGCTTTATATTAGCCGTTTAATTTTTCACAGGGTTATCAATATTTGTTGAATTCAATTGAAGATTGTGTACATGATCAAATATGCACAATTTGTGTTCCTCCAGTGCAACAAGGCATAAGACTCAGCAGTGACTTAATCTGAAAAGCTGCTTTTCTCAACCTGAAGAAATGATTCGCATCAATGAGAGGAGATGCAAGGAACGGTTCTACGAGGGGGAGCACCTAAAGATTTGGGATCTCCAAAGATATAGAATACCGAACAACTACATCTATAACTCAGTCCCAGCTTATCCTGAGGGAGTGGAATTTCACATTTCAAGGCTTCGGCATGACACTAACCTCCGAGGATACCATGGCATCTGTAATTCTTCAGGGTTTAAAAAGCCGACAGAAAGCGACTCACCTGAACGTGATCTTGTATGGTGGAGCCCAGACATTTCCAGACGTGATATTACAGCTGCTGAGGAGCAATACTTGGATAAGGAAGAGATTGAGTACCCAGAGAAACAATTCCTGCACAAATTTACATCTTCCCCAGCCTTTCTGTCCTCCTCTCGGCTGGGGAACTTCCGTTTCAGCATGCCAATCCATGACTTGTTTGAGAGCTACAAGGAACAGTTCTGTGCAGACCTAAGGCCCCACATTCGCATTTTTGAGACTGTGGTGTATAAGCAGGAAGTGATGTATTCTATTGTGATTCACTCACCTTCTGCAAGAGACCTGTTTTCGAAGTATCCTCTGCTCAAGGATACTCCCAATGCAGTATGTGTGTTTCGTCATGGCAACATTATCTGGCGTCCACAGGCAATGAGTAAAAGACACAGTTTCCGACTGTCTTGTAACATGCAAGCTATCCGGATAGCAACAGCGTACAGGGAAGATTACGTGTGGGACAACATTGGAGTGGCATTTCATGTTCCACATGGAAAAACCTTGAGCTTCACTAAGAAAACTCTGACTAAGAGTTTAAGACTCTGTAAAGGAGCTGAACCAAAAAGTCACAATGAAGAGTTTGTGACATGTGAGTTTGACCTGATCAGACCATAGAGTGAATATGCCAAATGACCCATTACTGCATTGCTTTCTCCTTTTGTTTTCACATTTTATTTGCATTGTTTTCTCTTATTTTAGTGTGTGTAGAATGTCTAAGTGGAAGCATCTGTTTGTGAATTTCAAAGTATTGTATGAGTGGAATCTCCTCTCATTCTGTTCCTGATTTAGTCTGCAGAGATATTCTAACTACACAGAAAAAGATAGAGGGAAAAAGATTTCTTCATTATGTAAGATAGACGTTTTTATTCCACACTTTAATTGAACCAGTCACTGTTAAATTGAAATGTAGAAGTTAAGAAGTTATTTAAAAGTTATAGAGGCTATAAATACAGCACTCAGCATAATTGAGTACACCCCATTTTGAAAATGAATATTTGTATCCATTTCTCAGTGATTATAGGCAATGTAATTTGTTGCATTTAAACAAAACAGTTATTGATTAGTTATTGATTAGTATTAATTAGTTATTAACAAGAGTTATTAACAAGAGTTATTAATCATATATATAAATATTTATTAAAATAATATTTAGTCACCAAACATATTTAGAAATTGAAAGATAATACAATTAAATTCAAGCAAAATATTGCCTCTTGTTTCTTCGTCTTTTTTAAATTAGTATTTAATATTTTTCTATAATATTTGGGTGTGCTAGTTTTTGGACCGCTATCGTACGTTATTTTGTTAGATAACCTCCAGATTTGGTTTCAGTACTGACTAATCTAATGTTTATGCACAAATATAATATTGTATAGCTTACTATTAAAAATATATGAATTTAAAAGATTTGTGAGGGGTGTACTTTTATATGCTGAGCACTGTCTCTTAATGCATATATATTGTATTACTATACATTGGTAACACAAAAATAAAACAAATCCTACAAAACAAATAGTGGTCTAATGTGCCCCCAACGCAAATCCTATGCATTATTGTTTATAAGTATTACAACTGAAAAAAGAATGAGTGTTCATTTCATTTTTTATCATGTACACTGAAAAATGTGGTTGATGTTTTTTTTAACAACCATTTCACTATTTTGAGAATATGTTGATGTTTTTCCATGTTGCCTAAATAAACCACAGATATGAGGAAATTATTTGTGGCATACTTTATTTAATGTTTTTACCTAACTTATGTTTTTTTTTTTAGGAAACTTGCAGACAAAAATTATGTTTCTTAATCTGTTTTGAATAACTCCCTGTGACATACTTCTTAAATAAATGCCTCAAAATAATGACTGAAGTTTATTTTCTTCTTTCAGTTACTCTCTATTAATACTTCTCTGGTTGACTCACTCAGCTTGAAAAAAAAAAACACTGGTGGTTTTGGGGTGTTTCCACTTCTCAAAAGAAACCGTCAACACACAAGATTATGACCTAAAGTTTTAAACATTTGGTACATTTTTAAATCTTAAAGATTAATATGGAATTATGAATGTGTAATATAAATAATATCATATAAAAGTGTTTTTTGTTTTGTTTTTGTTTTTACATTTATATCTTTATTCTTTAAAATACATAGGCTATATCATCTTTTATAACTGCCTCTTAGATTTTTTTTCTTACATTTATTAACAAATATGGGTCTATATTTTATATCAGAAATTAAAAATATTAACAGAAGTGTAGTATAATTTTCTGGAGCAATGTGAAAATAAAGTGAATGACAGAAAATCTAATAAAAAGTCCCTGTCAGATTTGTCAGTATTGTGACCTAGCAGTGTCTAAAACAAAACAAAAAAAAAAGGAGGTGGAAAATAAAATAAGTCTTATTACTTTCCAAAGTCAAAGATTTAAAATCCAGAAATTTGACAAAGATTAAATTCAACATTCAAAAATATCAAAGTCAGGTTTTATAACAATGACAACAATAATTTAACTATTTCATTATCCTTCTTATTTATTTGTGATTTACAGTGATGATGCTCCCACCAGTACTCGTCAAAAATATTATCATGCTTCAAAAGGTTTTATACTGCAAATTGACTGAATAGAAAAAATATGTATTTTCATCACTGTCGTTGGGAAGACTGTTATTCAGTCATTAGAACATATTATTCATGAAATGTGTGTTTTTTGTAAATGTATTTTAAGCATGTCTAGGACAGGAATGGTCCTAATGATCTAGTTGCATTTGTGTCTATTCTACAAAAGGGAAGGTAGCAGTATAGGCTCACAATTTTTGCTGAGAGGAAAATATATTATAATCCATTGTAAGAGTGAATTTTGGTGTCGACTGTCCGTGTATTAGCCTATATTTCTTGTTTTCTTTTTGAAATATGATAAATTTTTAATAATTATTTCTGAATGCAAGACAACATTTTAACTTGTATCGAAAATGCTTCTTGATTAAAGTGTTAATAGATATTTGGACCAGAACCAAAAAGCAAATACTCTAAATAAAAAAAGCATGTAGTGCGTGCGCGTGCGTATCTCTCAGGAGGAGGGAACGCAGTAAAAAGGCACACTTTCTTTCAGCCTTTCTTTCGAGGAGGAAGTCGCTCTGCAAAGAAGAAGACATCTCTCCGTTTGCAAGTAGCTGAAATCCTTGCTTTAAAATAGTGTGTTTACTTAAATTTTATGTTCATCGCATGTTTTTTTAATTTCTTATCGGTTATTTTCAATACTAAGCATGCATTACCGTCGAAAAAAGTCATGTCCGCTAATGTTTTAGCAAGGCATTTAGAGTGTCGGGTTGAAAAAGTGTTATTGACCATGACAGAATTTCACAGTTCTGCAACTACACACTTATGTTGGTGTTAGCTATGTAACTTTTTCTATATATAGTTTACAGTCTACATACGTTTCCATCCAAAGATAATAAATGTATGCGCAAAACTGGAATAGGTTATCACATAGCATATTTGCGGATAGCTTAAATCACCGCGGTTGCATGCAATGAAATATCGGCACTTTCTGATAAACCGGCGCCAAATAGCAAAAAGAAAACGGGTTTGGCTGAGTCTATTCCATATTTAATAAATTACTTGTGTCTCAAAATACAATGCTTATGATGACACGAACGTGTGGTGGCATTTGAAGACAGGAGCGCAGACGCTCTTGAGAGGACAGTTCTCTAATTTTAAAAAGAATAATGAAATGGTTAAAGGTGCAGTAGGTGATTGTCTTCAAAAACAGTTTTTGTGGTGCTGGTTGCATGTCTATATTATGTTCATTAAATATTATTTCCTAATCTATGTTAACTGTATAGAATTAAATAAAGGTGCAGTACAACCAAAAAGATGTTGGTAACCAAATCGTTTTGGGGGCTATAACATTCTGTTATTATCTGTTAAAAGTTAATTTATATTAATTTCTACGTTGAGTTAAAAAAAAGGTTTGAATTTATATAACTAACGTGCAAAAGATATAGCCCTTTTCACAGTAATTTGCTGTAATCATGCTACCTGCCGTAATTTCACAATAAAATTATGAATACAACATATTACAGTGAATTTTTCAGTTAAATACTGTGAAGGGATACTAATGTAATTTACTGTGAAAAATTACAGTAACTTGTTGTGAAAACCTGGAAATTTTTTACAGTGTAGCTGAAAATGATTTAAATGCTGGTTGAAAATTATCGAAATGTATGCATTTTTATATTCTGGGTAAAGCATAAGAGTAAATGTTTATCCAATAAAAATTGTCTGGCTGACAAATCCCATAACTCTGATATGTAGCCCAAACTGTTTGTCAGCAAATGTAGATTTGTACATCTGCCCACCGTTCACGCAGATCTGTCCTTTGCATGTGCAAAAACAAATGCACAAACAAATGGTAAAAGCAAAAACAAATGCTCCGTCAAAACCTTTTAAATGCTGAATCAATATTGGAGTTACTTATGTATGCTGGAGCAAGGATGACACCATGGCTTAAGTATTTCTTTTAGACAGGTAATGTTATGTTTTAAAACTCTTAGTTTTGCAAAGCTGGGTTATATGCATGGAAGTGTTGTTCAGCCACTGTGTCTATTTTCAGTATCATAAGTTACCTTTTACAGCATTGATAATGTAGATTTTTACTTCCTTTAGTAACAAAACATAAGTAAACAGCGCTATTCCGCCTAGCCTGCTTTACTGAGCTTTTATATTCACATTGGTTCATTTTTGAACAATGACAGCCTGTGATGCTACTTTAAATATTCAGTTTGAAATAGCATTGAAGTATAATTCCTGCACGCGCAGGCCAAGCACTAAGCATTTGAAGGCCCTAAGCAGTTCCAGCCATGCAGCACAGCAGTTCTAAAACAAAAGCGTTTGTATAGTCTTATACATTTTTTAAATTAATTTATTTAGCTGTTTTTTAATATCACTGAAATTTCGAACAATAACAGCCTATATCATGAAATCTCCTTTTCCATGTTTTATCTCAATGAAATCTCTACTCAATAAATGATTTGTTTTCTTAAAATTAATTCACAATTAAAAGGAATTAATAAATCAAAAATAATAAATTGTTTTTAAAACTGAATCTTTAACTGACTTGACTGCTAGACTGCTCCATGCATGATAAGGGTGTAAGACAAAGTTGTGTAGAGGTTTTAATTAAGTTAAAACTGAATTTGGTAGACCCTTACCAATACAAAATGTAATAGAAAATGATGTTATGTGTATAATTCATATTTCTAGATGTTTATTAGGGATCCCCAAATTTCTTGGGGCCCTAAGCGGCTGCTTTCTTTGCTTATTTTTTCAATCCTCCCCTCGTTAGGACAAAGCATGTGAGAGAGTGAGACCAGCGATCCTTGCATGCATGAAATATTGCACATTATTACGTTTTGCTTGCTACACAACTGAAAACGTGCAACATATAATACAGTTTTTCCTTGGGAATTGTATAATTTTAAAGTACTATAACGTTTTCTAACTGCCGAACGACATGATCTAGTGGGTTGTCTACAGTCATCTTTAGCGTGCACGTTCATGATTTCAGGAGGCATGGGTAGGCCCACACGAAATACAGTTCTGCAGTTTTTTAGCTCATTATAAATTCTGTTTATTTACTTGAGTAAATGTGTAAATCGGAATTTATTCAGTTTTTATTCAGTAATTTATTACTTTTTATTTAATATATTAAAGTGTAAGTTATGATACTCTGCTGGATACTCCCAAAATAATTCCGCAGATATCTGCAGATTTTTACCAAAATTCTCCGCAGAAATAGCAAAAAACGTCCGCAGATTCCGTCTGGCCCTAGGCATGGCTTTGGACAGCAGGGGTGGGACTAGTGGGACCGGTTAGCATAACATCAACTACTGCACCTTTAAGGCATTCCAGAAGGACCACAACGTTTCGAATGTTTTACAATGTGGTCGGACGCAGGTTTGTCCATTATTGCGTCCTATCACACAATTTATTACACACTTTTTTAATGCACATAGGCCTATACTGTAAAAAAAAATATGATCAATTAGTCCTGACAGCATATGTTTTTAGGTCATTGTAACTTATTAAACAAAGTTAATCATGTTCTAACTTCATTTTATAAGTTAAACTAGCTGTTTTTGGCTACTTTAAGTTCAATGGACTCAAGGTTACTTTGATTCAGCTTAAAAATGTAAGGCAACAAGGATTTTTTAGTGTACTGGAATTTATGCTGTAAAAGTGTTTCCATTGTCGTTCTCACAGATTGTTTACGAGCATATCCGAAATGTATGCGTATCTTGGCGTTTCCATCAAGCATTTATGGTGGGTGAAAAACCGACACTGAAACTGACAAGTGATTGTGTTTATTTTAGTTTGTTTGACTAATGAACTCAACACAGTGTTCAGCAGACCTTAAACCCTACCAACCTATTCGGTTTTTGAAAGATTGTTTATTTATTTAGCCTACTTACTTATTTATGTTCAAAAGTCAAACTGTTGTTGGGTTACTACCCCTAATGTTTCTTTCTGTTTCAGAAAAGAAATGAAGCGCAGAAATAACCGCAATGTCACCGAGACTTACTTTGAGGGAGAGCATTTGAGTCTCGCAGACTTGAAAAAGGAGTCTGTAGAGAATGGGTACCTGTTTAAGCACAACATTCCTGCTTATCCCAAATCTGTGAAGTTTCATGTTGATAAAGTGTCTCATGTCACAGGAGAATGTGGTGTTCGGGGGATTTTTACAGATTCAGGGTTCAGACAGCCACCAGAGCTGGTGGATAATGATGAGAACTATTTTCTCTGGTGGGATCTATCCGTCACATCTGATGAAATATCCTCAGCTGAAGAGGATTTTCTCATGTCCTTATTCCCTCGTCGAAGTGCTGCACAGATTCGCAACCAGTCACCCTTCTTAAAGCAATTTACCAGCTCCAAGGCCTTCCAGAAGGATTCTTCCTATGGAAACTTCCGCTTCACCTTTTCACTGAAGGAGCTTCTCTGGCACTATGGAGATCAGTTCTGTGGTGGCCACAGTCCAGTTCTGCGAGTTTATGAGACTGCGCTCTACCGGCGAGAGATTGTCTATAAGATTGTGGTGCACCCTCGTGACAAAAATCATCTTTATGAGAGTTATCCTCGACTTCCTGATCAAGGTGATGGTGTGTGTGGTTACCACGATGGAGCCATGTGGTGGCGCTGTCAGGCCCCTTCTGAAACCTACAAGCTCAAGCTTGATGTGAACAGGTTTGACAAAAATGTTAGTGTGAGCTTTCATTACAAAGAAGAATACTACGTGTGGGACCATGTGTGTGTAGCTTTCCACATGGAGCCAAACTGGGTGTTGCACGTGAACCAGGACAGGCTGTTAAAGAAAGTGACTGTTTGTGAAGTGATTCCACCTTGTCTTCTGAGACCTCCGGAGACTCCACTGAGTTTAAACGAGGCCCGGCATGTATTAGCTAGTATTTAAGCTATACGGCTAGCCTAAGCTAAACGCAATGTAGTCCATGCAAATGCTTTATAAAACACAGCAGCATATAATCATGTAATTAATGTTAGTTTTGATTAAAATGCCTGAAGTTATAAGAAATTTTCACTGTTATTCACTGTTGTAAATATAAAACACGTAAACACTTACATGTCACAGTGGCATTTTTTAATAGGTTGCAATTTTTTAGATCTGCTGGAAATTTTTCCTCAAACATTTTCTTGTTCATATTTTTTACTCTTGTTTTTTTAGGATTTGAGAAATAATCTTTAAACTAAAACATTTATGCAGAAACCAAAATAATGACTTATGTAAGAAATGTGCCTTGATAGTGTCCAATTTCCACTCTAAACTGTGTGTTGATGTTCACATTTCGAAAAGGGTCATTATTATAAATAAGATAAGTCAACAGATTTGTTGACTGCACTATTTGTGACGATCACATATTGAGCAAATGGTTACTGAAAGAAATATCCATGTAGTCACTCTCCAAATATTCTGTTTTGTAACTGTTTTATCTTATTGTAAGTTGTCCCTGTACTAGGCGCCTTGACGTTGCGCCTTGACATTCTTGAGCACTGGATAAAATTGTTCTGCCTAACTGAGCTGAATATTTGCACGTATTCATAACCCATGTAACCCTGAGTATGATGTATAAAAGCTGGGAATACCCCAGTCTTCTTTAGAAGAGAGCAATAAACTGTTGGATTCACATCTCTCAGTTGTTGTTGCCTTCCTGGAGCTCCAGCTTACTGAGGAAACACACAGACGATCTGCAATTTATCCCAACAGTTACCGACTGTGGAATAGGGACTGGTGTGGGAGACTGACAACCATCTCAGACTATGGGGTGTCGAAATTTAATTAACACATAGGTCAAAGCTGTGACGATAGCCAAGAAGCAACTTCATTTACATTTAAAGGCAGTAAACTGTATGAAACGACTGAATGTTCAGGGTTCATGCTGACTGCGCTGAACGGGCACTGCCATGTACTTTGATACTGCTATACTGAATAAACATCTTCATTTGAGATCTTACGTCCTCATAATTTTTTTTTACACCTGTAAACCCTTCATATTCTGAATTTCATTTCTACCTGCACAAATTAAGTTGCTACATACATTTACAAATATATTTTATTTTTTTGCTCATGTTAAAATATCAGGGCCTTCCTGTGTAAACTGTGGATATTAAAGAACATTGCTTAAACCAGCTAATGATCAGCAAGAACCAGCTTAAACCAACAGCCATGGTTTAAAACTTAGCTACTCAACCACAATGCTGTTGTTTAACAGGGTAATGTACAATATCCAGGGAGTTATGAACTTCTGACCTAAATGGGTTCCAGTCAACTGTGGAACAAATTTACCTATTCATAATATAAATGTGAATTGTGCTATGCATGTATGAATTTTATTTTGTAAATGTATTATTATTAAGACTGATCAGGCTTCATATATTTTCCTCAACCCAACTCCCCTTGCACATGATGTGTAATTATTTCATAACAGTCTCTCCTAGTGCCCCTGCACCTCACAGTAATGTGCTTACTGTTTCATTTATTTAATTCTGACAATGCTGTACATCCCTTTATTCTAAAAGACCTTTAATAAAAAAAACAATAATAAAAACAATAATAATATAAACCTGGAACACACAAATTTTTTATTTTATTTAAAAAAAATAATTAAACTTATTAAAATCTTTTCATGTTACAAACAAACAAACAAACAAACAAATTGACAAACAAACAAACAAACAAGCAAACTGATTCCTGAAGTAAAATAGAGATCTTTTCCATGTTCTCCAAAATCCATGGCTAGAATGCAGCATTAAATTTGTGTTATCAGCACTAATTTTCAAGCTCAAAATCCAGTCAGTGTTTTACACGAATGTGCGAAATAGTATTGTTGACTCGGAAGTTGTTGACTTCAAATCAGAAGGCGGGAACATTAACTCCAGAAGAAGCCTGGTAGGCGAAAAATAAGGTAAATAATAAATTATACGATGACTCAGTGATATTTAAGGCTCAGGAACTAAATTCCTATAATTTTGTTTAGCCTCTATGAATAGCAGCATTTGGCGGTTTCGTATGCGGGCGGTTCAAACCGAAACAAACAAACTGGTTTGTAAAAAGCCCCAAAATCTCTCAAAAAGAAACACTTGGTCTTTTTGCTCCCTCTGAAAAGCATTTATAGTAATTATTAATTTAGGTTTCTGAAAATTGCCCACACGAAGAAAATACTACTATTTATATTAAATTGGCCTAACGTTACTGGTGTTTTTAAACTAACGTTAGTTAAACTAAGTTAACTGTTAAGTGTATGATACTGTATTTATTAAATCATCTTATAGCAACACGTTATTAATGAATGCTACAGCAAATTTAACTAGAGCAAAACTGTAAGAAATACTGTATTATACAGTATTTATACTTTAGGTATTACAGTTGTATAATTAACCATATAATGTTAAGTTAGTTGTAGAAAAGTGGGTCAATTGGAATTTCCACAACAGTTTAATTCAAGAACTTTACTAAAGTATAAAGTAACACTATGCATTAATTGCATAAACTTTATGCTGATGAATATGGTCCTTTTAAAATATATTTTTTAGTATTATTATTACCAAAAAATTATCATTGACAGTTAAAACATATATCAGTTGAATTGTTAAATGAAAGAGCTTACCAGTTTTACCAGAATTAGGGCAAGTACTAGCTTATTAAAGGCAAAATCAGGACAATACAACAATATAATTAAATATATTTTTCATTTACTTGTCATGTGAATGAAATATATTCTACAATTGATTGCAATACGAATAGGTCAAAAATAATAATAATATATAAAATAATATAGCCAGTGGTAAGTTGTAAATTTGATTTAGCATGTACTAGAATACAGATATGATGTTCTTTCAAATATCAAAACAGCAGCTGTATAGATATCTTAAGATAATGAGATGAATAGCTGAGCACTTAGTGCTACCACTGATTTAAAAAGACATGGAATACAAATCTCAAGAAATCTGTGTGATCAAGCTTTTTTGACTTTGCTACCACCCCGATCTAAAGAGGAAATGTAACTGTTTTACATATTGTCAGAAAAGTGGCAAATCTTACAAATTCATATGACTTAATTTGGATGAAAACATCCTGTTTTTAAAATAGGTAAACCTCCAAATTCCACCTCTAACCCTATTGCTAAAATGTGCAGATGAGATTAATGATAAATTAATACAAATTAGCCACTAAATCAAATAACTAAAAATCGTTGTGAGATAGTATTAGTGTGAGCCACAGTTTGAAAACCTGTTATGTTTATGTTTTATGCCTCATCCTATTTTTTATTGTACAGTTTCTAAACTGTATGATCATTTAAAATCCTAATTATTCCCTACATATTTTAATCCTTATATATATTTTCTTTGCTTTCAGAAAGAAAAGATGCACAAAGATGGCCGAACATCCCCTAGCGCACAATTTAAGAAACAGCATTTGAGTCTGTCAAACATTAAAAAAACAGAAACTATAAAGAATGATTACTTGCTAAAGCCCTACATTCCTGATTACCCTGAATTAGTGGAGTTTCAAGTAAAGAAAGTGTCTCATGTCACAGGAGAACATGGTGTTCTGGGAATTTTTGCTAACTCAGGTTTCAAACAGCCATCGAACTTGGAAAACAATAAACATTATTTCCTTTGGTGGAATTTATCTGTCACATCTCATGACATATTCTCAGCTGAAGATCGTTTTCTCACATCTTTATTCCCTGGTCGAAGTGCTGCTCAGATCTGCAATGGTTCACCCATTCTTCAGCACTTTACTAACTCTGAGGCCTTCCTGGAAGAATCTTCCTATGGGAACTTCCGCTTCACCTTTTCGCTTAAGGAGCTTCTCTGGCACTATGGAAATCAGTTCTGTGGTCCCGACAGACCAGTTCTGCACATTTATGACACTGCGCTCTACAAAAAAGAGATTCAGTATACTGTTGTGGTGCATCCTCCTAATGTACATCTTTATGATGATTATCCTCGACTTCCAAATGATGGTGTTGGTGATAGTGTTTGTTGGTACAATAATGGAGCCATGTGGTGGCGCTGTCAATCCCCGTCAGACGACTACAACAGTGTGCTTGAGGTGAACAGATTTGATGGAATTGTTAGTGTAAGCCCTCTTGACAGTGTGTACTATGTGTGGGATCATGTCTCTGTAGCTTTCCACATGGAGCCGGGGTGGGTGTTGCATGTAGACCGGGACAGGCTGTTTAAAAGAGTGACAGCTTGTGAAGTGTCTCACCATCATCTTTTGAGATTTCCAGATGTTCCTCTGAGTTTATGTAAAGCTAAGAGTATTTTAGCTGATCTTAAGACTCGATACGGTTAGGGTTTGGAGGCTGCTGGCTGGAACTAAACATAATATCAGATATATTACACTCTTATAATTATGCCAGTCATGGTTTTACACCACTAAGCTTCATTAGACAGCAGTTAAAACAACATATTTCATTAAATGGTTTTAAGTTGTTAAGCCACCTATAAAGCGTTAAGCCTATTTTCATTTTATTCTAAGACTGGGGATTTAACTAAATTGATGGAGCATTATCTGATTTTTCTGTTGTTGACATCATTACTATAATGGAACCTGACAAATGGTAACATAAAAAAAATTACAAAAAGGTATTGTGTAAAATAATTAGGTATTACCTAAAGGACAAGAGAGCAGCCTTCGTGAGCATGTTTGCAAACATATTGATTTAATATAAATGCTAGATAAGAAGGAAATTAATATTAACTGGCTTACATGTAAGGATAACTTTGCAAGCAAGATTTTTAATATAGAAAGTCACTGGTTCGAGTCCCGGCTGGGTCAATTGACATTTCTGAGTGGAGTTCCCCTCATGTTGGAGTGGGTTTCTTCCCAGTGCTTCCGTTTTCCCCAGTCCAAAGTCATGCGCTATAAGTGAATTAAATAAACTAAATTGTTTGTAGCGGATGTGTGTGACCGTGAGAGTGTATGGATGTTTCCCAGTACTGGGTTGCAGTTGGAAGGGCAAACATGCTGGATAAGTTGCAGGTTCATTATGTTGGTTTATTCTGCTGTGGCGACTGTTTGATAGTTTGCAGATTGGAATGCACATTTGCACAGATTTTCATAATTAATTTAAGCATTATGCATCTTTTAACATTCATGATGCAGTAGCCTAATTGATGTAATTGACTTCTTTGTAGGATGACGATCTTTACCATGGGCTAATTTTGAGTAAAAAAAAAACACTTTTATTTTTGTCCACTAGAGGTCTGTGTTGGACTTCTAGTTTTATTTCTATGTCCTTTCAGTTATTTGTCTTTTTAATGTAAACATTTCTTGTGTCATTGCTATTACTTTAATTATGAAATGTTAAATGTTTTATCTTTAATTATCTCACATGCTTTATTATGTTCTAGGAAATTTGTCTTATTTTACATATTCATGGTTTTAGGCATGGGACATTAACCATCTTCATGGTATGCCATGAAATTTGATTTGGAAAATCAAGTTTTTAAAACCGCCAAATTTGCTGCTATACCATTTCTAAGGTATTTGTTCAATTTTCTTTTTAATTATCTTTTTAAGGACAACAGTATCTTCAGCAGAAAAGATCTCCAAAGGTGCTGCTTTAAATTGTAAAGAAATCTGTGTTTTTGAAACTAATGAAGACAGAAGTCAATGATTCATTTACATTATTCAAAAAAAGTTGTTGTTTTTTACCCAGACATTTAAAAAGAATATGTTTTAGAGCAGTAATCACAATACAGTACAACCATGATATTTTTATCCAAGGTTATCATACCATCAGATTCTTAACAGCCCATGCCTACATGGTTTATTTAACTAAAAATCTCTGTAGCTTAAACTGTTTTCAATCTGATCTTATTGTTCCGTTTTAAATCATTGATGTGTGATGTTACATATTGTCAAGTTTCTAATACCAATAAATATAACTAAAACACAGTAACTGCCTCTGTAGTCTTTACTTAGTAAGTGTGCTTGATGCACATGCATTAATTTTACCTTTTATTTAGTGATAATGAACGACCTGCAATAAAGGTCAGAGTGCACTGTAAACAATTCACCTATACCATGTTTTTGAATATTTGTGGGGGAAACTGGAGCAACCAGAAGGAAACCCACGTGAACACAGCGAGAACAAGCAAACACCACACAGAAATGCCAACTGACCCAGCCAAGACTTAAACCAGTGACCTTCTTGTTGTGAGGCGACAGTGCTACCCACTGCACCACTTCACCACCCATATTAGAAAACAGAAATTTATAATATTGTCCTCTGTTTTTACTCATTTGATTTAGCTTAGTCCCTTATTTATCAGGGGTCGCCAAAGCAGAATGAACCATCAACTATTCCGGCATATATTTTATGCAGCGGATGCCCTTCCAGACATACACTACAGCCAATTTAGTTTATTCATTTCATTTATGTCTTTGGACTGTGGGGGAAACCGGAGCACCCAGAGAAAAACATGCAAACTCCACACTGAAATGGCAACTAGCCCAGCCGGAACTCAAACCAGCAACCTTTATGTTGCAAGGTAACAGTGCAAACCACTGAGCCGCCCACCCATTACATAATTTTTATTTACATATTTAATATTTAAATCTATTTCCTAATCTATCATAAGCCATTTAATTGAATGCTTTGCTATATATTTATTTTTTAATCTGTACTACAGATGCATGTTCTTGAGTTGTGTTGGTTTCACAGAAGTGTATGTTCTTTGTTTCAGCTCAATACTTCCAGCTGATAGCAGTAATGGCAACACCATATAAGGCAATTGGCTCATACAGATGATGTCATCACCTCCACCACGGTCCTAAGTGGAGAATCTCCTTTGCCCTGTGAGAGAAAGAAAGTGTAGGAGGTGTGGTGGAGAGCAAAGAGAAGGAACACGTTCCAGAACTCCAGCCAGAGTCTGCTAAGTGTGTCTATAAGATGTGTCAGTGCTATTTCAGTGCGTGAAACAAGATGCTACTCTGTTAAATTGGGAAAGCCACAAAAGAGAAAGGAAAAGAAAACGGTGTGGAGTGTTGTAGCAGCTGCCAGCAACTGTGACTGTGAGGGAACTTTACTCTCTACAAGCTTATCATGGGAAAGTCAGGTAAGAGCACAATAAACTAGTGTTTTGCTTTAGCATCTGATATTATCAAATATATCTTTTCTGCAGTCTCTGTCACTGCCATCCTCTGCTGTTGAATGATGGTTTGTCAGCACAGGTTGAGCATATGCCAGCTTCAACATGCTGTGTGTGCTGAGGATTGTTTGCTACTCAATCCTTGCTTTGTTTGAGTGATAGCATCATGTAGTTGGATTTATGCCTCTGCAGTAGTGGCAAGCACAACTTCTTGGCAGCATTTGTCAAGTCCAAAAGGTTTAAATGGAACTAATGGTTTCTGCAGTCATTATGTGTGAATATTCAGTCAATATGCATAATCTAATCTAACAGAGTCTAACAGAATATAATGTCATTTTACACACAAATATTTAGGTCAAAGCAAATTTAATGCAAGTTAATTCTGCTTTCAAATAACTTTTTGGAAAACAAAATCTCAAAATACGGGTATAATGAAGTTCCATAGTCATTTAATGTAACAGATAATAATAATAAAAAAAGTAAATGTACTCATTCAGACCTGCGCTTAAAAAGTGATCACACTCCATTTTATCATGATTTAAAGTAGTGGAATAAAAACCTCTTTCTGAAAAAAATCGTTAAATCTTGTGGCTTGAAGGATGGTGCCAAAGTATTAAGATTTAGAATGACAAATTACTACACTAAAACTCAACAGTCACATTTATCAAATGAGATGATTGTAGTTAACTCAAAATGTACTGGAAATTAATTCTACTTATTGTTGTGTGAAGCTGTTGATATTGTTTATGGAGTTGTTTAATGATCATCGGCTAAGATTTTTAAAAGATTGCATGGGCTTTGTTTCTTTTAATGATGTGACAGGTCACTGTAGTTTTGTGCTTCTCTTTAGTAATTCTGCTTGTTAACAAGACTTCTGTAATGACTTCAATATCTCATTACTTAAATGGAATACGTTCGCAGTACTCATTAGGATGAGTTTTTATTTACTTAAATGGTTTGTTGCAATCAGTTTTCTCAAATGATTTGAGTTGCCTTAACTTTTTGGGTTTTACAGTGTAGCATTTTGTGTTTTTATTGTGATTGTTTTTATTTTTAAACATGTAACATGTTTAATATTACCTTTTTAATATGTGATAAATTATTGTTCTAAATATTCCTACTAAGACCAATCATGGCAAAAATTTATTACAGATTTATGATTCTGCTTATAAATATTTGAATAAAAAATTAATATAAAAGTAAAATGAATGTGTTCATATATGTGTGTATACATTTTGAGAATATTTCTATCCATTTCTCAGTGAATATAGGCAATGTATTTTGGTGCATTTAAAAAAAACAGATTTATTAAGATTTGTTTATTAAAATAATATTTTAGTCACCAAACATATTTAGAAATCGAAAGATAATACAATTAAATTTAAGCAAAATATTGCAAAAAATAAAAATCACAAACTGCACAATTTCAACTGAATTTTTCTTTTTATTTTGCTTCTGCCATTTAATCACTTGCTTCATTTTTGTTCATTTGGCTTTGCAGCCTCCAGGCTTTTTAGTGAGGAGGCGCTGAAGACTCATAACGAGTACAGGAGGAAACATCAAGCCCCACCGTTAAAACTCAGCAGTAAACTATGCAGTGAAGCATCAAGGTGAATGTTTTCAGAAGATGACCTTGTGTTTGCTGTTTCTTCCATATTCAACTTGTTTAATTGTAATTACATCTTCAGACCATCTAAACGCATGCTTTGTAGATATGCCGAGAGCCTTGCCAGCACCAGGATTCTGAAGCATAGCGTTGAATCTAGTAGAGGAAACTGTGGAGAAAATTTAGCATGGGCATCCTATGATCAAACGGGTAAGATTCCTCTTCTTCTGTCACCCCACACATTTACATGTATTTAAAACAGAGTAGACTGAAATCCTCTTCTCGACATCTGGGACTTATTATGAAATGTCTACCTCCATGTTTGGTCAGAAGTTGATTACTAAGTGCGATGGAATGTCTGGCTAGACTGCAGTGATTTGTAAAGTGTCACTAAACATTGGGTTATTTAGAATTACATTTCATGTTATTTCTTGGAATCTTCAGTTTGATTTAATTTAAAATATTATCAACCAACAAAACAAATCTGGAGAAAATGTTTTCATATGATTTGAACTTGATAATAACATAATTTTTGGAGGGCCTTCACTGAATCTTTGTGTTTGTTCGACAGGTAAAGATGTGACTGATCGCTGGTATAATGAAGTGAATCAGTACAACTTCAACCAGCCAGGATTCTCTTCTGGAACTGGTAAGAGAACTCAGATTTTCAGCCAACATCAGTCATTTGTCTATACTACTGACATTACAAAAATACCATTGTAAAAATACAATTTGGACACAGAAATCTATGTTTACTTTTTAGCTAAACCATAGGTCTCAAACTCGATTCCTGGAGGGCCACAGCTCTGCAGTTTTGCTCCAACCCTAAACAAAATACAGCTGATCCAACTAATCAAATACTGTGTCCCAATTTGCATACTTATACTACCCTCTAAAAGTATGTACATTTTTTTAAAGAAAAGTATATAGTTTTTGAGTGTGTACCAAAAGTATGCAAGCTTTGGGACATACTACCTCGTTAACAGATTGTTATGTTGCTTACTTACGAGCCCTTTCAATCATCCTCACATGATTCACATTTCTGTCATATTTAATTGCCTACCTTATTGGCGAAGCATCATAGCAGCAGGATAATCTGCCATTCGCGAGTCTTTCATGCAGAGAAATCTCCTTAAGTTCATGTCCAAACATGTCTTTATACATTCGAGCTGTTGTTGTTAATAAAATGTAACACTGAAAACGTGATTTTAAATATTTTCAGGGGGCTAGATATTAATTAATAGTCAAACATGCATCTTTACCAAAGCCTCTCTGCTTGACTGTTGGTCTCGCGCGTACACCATGTTTGTAGTTTATTTACACTTTTTCTCCTGCATTTGTAGTTCTAATCAAATTCATGTCCAACATGCAATGTATTGTGGGCATTATCAGCGGTTAGAGTATGGACAGATCTACACTTGGAGTTTTTACCAAAAATAGTAAACCATCCGGGAACCTTTAGCCCCCTCCTCTTTTTTATTTTTTATTTTTTTTAAATGCTATGATTTGGGACATACTAATTCTATTTTCAAATACTATTTAGGATGGATAGTATGCGAATTGGGACGGAGCTAAAGTGTTCAAGACTACTAGAGACTTTTCAGTAGGTGTGGGTTGGAGGTAGGAGTTGAAGCTAAACTGTGCAGAGCTGTGGTCCTCTAGGAATTGAGACCACTGAGACCAACTTTACAGGATGACTTAAAATTCAGCAACTTGCCCAGTGTATTATGGTTTATTGAATTTTTCCTACCCTTTGGAAGATAACAGCTTTTTTCTCTCTTGTCACAATGTACAAATAATGTTTTTGTCCATATAGGCAGACTGTTTAAGATGCTTCTAGTAGGTGAATTAACACAAAATAGTCTGGTTTAGGGGACTACTCACACTATGCTATCCAAAACCGTGCCCAGTCCTGTTTCCCGGATCGTAGTGTAGTGTGAGTGCTCTAAATCTGGCTCAGGCACGGTTCACTAGGCCGGCCCTGGCCCGGTTGAAAGAGGTGTGCCAGAGTTCAGTGCACTTGGGCTTTGGCATGGTACTCTTATAGTGTGAGTGCAAAGTGTGCCAGAGCCTGAAACTGAAGACGAGACATGACTTTTACGGGACTGTTTCATATGCGTTTATTAATCATTCTTACTGTTCAATGAACACAAAACTGTTGTAGATCATTAAAGACGCAAACCCCTCACTGCACCACAGCTGCACCTTCAGCAAACCTCCTAATTCCTGCAGCACGAGGACTTTATGATTGTTTATGAGCGTCAAAAGTGGCTGATCTGTTCAGTGAAATATTTGACTGCGTGTCACTGCATATCAAATGACTAAAACAATATAACTAAAGAAACCTTCACTGTGCTTAGCGAAAGAGCTTATTGAACAGCGCATCATTGATGACGTAAGCATACCCAGGCCCGAATATAACTATATGGGCTCCCTTCTCAAATGTAATGTAAGTGCGGGCTGTCTGGGGAGACGGGAGGGGGGACGAGCATGCTTTGGCCCAGTTCAGGGCAACTATACATAGTGCGAGTACGCCCAAATAGAAAAGTACTCTGCTCTGCTTAATGACAAGAAATGTAATGTACAAAGAGCTCCATGTAGTTGTGGTTTACCAATTGAAATTGATCGTAAAACTACAGTGCTTATTGCTTTTATAAAATGGTTACAAGACATTTTAAAGGCAAAATTTTGCCATCTTTCCACTAGAATAAATAGTCCCTGACAGTGACCGCAGCCAAATGTTTCTAGCTGTAATGACGCATCTGATTGAACTCTCACAAAATAGATACTGTTTGCATACACTGTTATTTATTTATTTTTTTTTATTATAAAGCAGATCTGGTTTTAGTACTTGGTCCTGCCTGGTCAAGCCACTTTTGAAGCACTAATTAAGATACAAACATTCAAAACTCTTTAACTGTTCTTAAAAAAAAAAAAAAAAAAAAAAAAAAAAAATATATATATATATATATATATAAATATATATATATATATAAATATATATATATATATATATATATATATATATATATATATATATATATATATAAATATATATATATATATATATATTGTTTACTTTTTAGCTAAAGTCGACAGGATGACTTAGAATGCAACAACTTGCCAGGTGCATTAAGGGTATTAAAGTTTTCCTAACAGCTTTTCTCCCTCCAGTGACATAGTAAAGTGTATTTTTTAGTCTATATAGACAGACTGTTTAAGATGCTTCTAATAGATAAACTTATGTCATGCCACAAAATAGTCTGGTTTGCAATAGAAGAGTACTTTGCCCAGCTTAATGACAAAAAAAGATCTACATGTAATGTACAAAGAGCTTCATGTAGTTGTAATTTACCAATCAAAATTGACTGTAAACCACAGTGCTTATTGCCTTTATAAAATTGTTACATTAAGACATGCTTTACAGGCAAAATTTATGCCATCCTTCCACTAGAGTGACTGTAAACTGCAGCTGAATGTTGCTAGCCATAATGACACATCTGATTGAACTCTCACAAAACAGATACTCTTCTCATACACGTATTTAATTTGAATTATAAAACAGATCTGGTTCTAGTAGATGGTCCTGATTGGTCGAGCCACGTTTGAAGCACTAATTAAGTTACAAACATACAAAACTCAAGCTGTTTTTAATTAAATAAAAATAAAAAGAAGCACTAGCACAAGCATGACATCATATCCTGTTGCCCATATTTTTGTGGCATTTGTTTTTGTCAGGATGTTAATTTTCATTTACGGCATTGAACAGCTTTTGTTTTATAGCAGCCTAATACTATACAGACACATACATGAGATCATTTAGAATAAGTTAATGCAATACTATCTTGTAGAATATCTTTTCCCTTTGTACATTCCCAGATGTGACTCATCCTATTGGAATGAGGTTTTCCAAAGCCCTCCCAGGCACAGGAAATTCCCCATAAAACTGATCTGAAAAGTCACTTATGATGCAATGTCTCACTCGCAGCTGTTCACTGACCTCACAGCATTTATTCACCTCACCTGTCATCAGCTTCAGCCTGCAGGCTATGAGTAATGCAGCTAGTCACCTCAAGAGGGCAGAACACGTCTGAAAGATTCCCCAATATTACAGCACTTCAAGCTGGAAGTGACTATATAGATTGTGGATTGTGGATTGCATACATGCGTTTTTTAAATATGTAAAACGGATGATCATGTATAACTCATTTAGTCAATTACAGTGTTGCAAACACCAAAGCTGTCTTGGGGAAAACACAAAGAAATCAAGTCACTGGTAATTAGTTTTAGATAAACATTTGCCAAATGGATAATTTGCACAAGAGTCTGTCATTCCACTCAAGTGTTTCTACAGGGTATAAATATTTAACCGAGCACTAACACAACCGCCACATGGTTTATGTGAGTCAAACATGCATAAACACTTTGTGACAACCACGCAGACGGTATAATCCTTGCTGCAGTGCAGGCCAATTAAAGTAAGAATCTTCTTTTAATTCTAGGTCACTTCACTGCGGTGGTGTGGAAAGGCTCCAAGAAACTTGGTGTGGGCAAAGCTGTGGCCTCAGATGGTTCCACCTTCGTGGTGGCACGTTATTTCCCAGCTGGCAACATTACCAATCAGGGCCACTTCCAGGCTAACGTCCTGCCCCCTAAAAGCTGATCCAAATGTAGATGGACACAATGAGAGCAAAGGTAGGCAGGGGAATAGAAAGGGGAACAGTTGAATTTGGAGATTTTACCAGGAGGATCAAACACATCGACCGCAGGCTTTGGTTGACTTGGATACAAAGGTGTTACTTGAATAAAAAAGCTTAACTTGACATTTTTAGGTTTTATTAACTAGAATACCAGGATACCTAAACCTAGAATGTTGAAGGTATTTCTTGTTTGGTTTGTAACATTTTCCTAATACTCTACATTCATAATAGTAAGATCATTGTGTTCCTGTGCCAGGTACTGTACTTTATGTGGATGTCAGAGTAACAGTATTTAAAAAAAAGTATATTTTTATGAGTTAAGTGAACGTAGATCTAATCCCATACCTCTATTGCACTAAAAATCTTACATCAAATATAGAGCCATTTCTGGGAGGCATTTTACATGGTGAATGTGACGAGTGTGACCTCCACAAAAAGGACTTTGGTAATGTTTATTCCTTTATGTCACAGACTGGTCATTACATGTTATTAATTTGATTATCCTTATGTCTTTGTATATTGATATTAATTAAAACTGAAGATGTTCAAATGGTCTATGTGATGTCATGTTGCACAGTTTCACACACCATCTTAACCCTTGTGTACTGTTTGAATTTACTACCCTTTCATTATGTTGGTGACTGTTTTTGCCCCATTGACTTCCATTATAATGTTGTTTTTTGATAGCAAAAACCATGACACCATATAATCAGGCATTTTTCATTGTTAGTGGTTTTCCCTGTTGGTAAGATGTGTCATTTTTGCTGTTGATCATCAGTTGGCACCATTAACCCTTTAGATAGGGCTGTGCAAAACGTTTCTGGCTTTTATTCATTTTCTTAGTATTATTTAATCTGGGGTCGTCACAGAGGAATGAACCGCCAACTTATCCAGCACATTTCACGCAGCGAATGCCCTCCAGCTACAAGCCATCATTAGGAAACATCCATACACACTCATTCACACAAACACACTATGGACAATTTAGCCTACCCAATTCCCCTGTACCACATTTTTTTTGGAAATGTGGGGGAAACCGGAACACCCGGAGGAAACTCACGCGAACACGGGGAAAACATGCAAACTGACCCAATCGAGGCTTGAACCAACAATCTTCCTCCTGTGAAGTGAATGTGCGACCCACTGCGCCACCCCGTTTCTGTCTTTTATATGGAGTAAATCAGCAGATTATAGTGTGCATGTGTACAAACACTTACTATGTGTGTGTTCTGACAGGTGAGCTGCTTATTTATTTATTTTTTTTGTTAAGTGTGCAAAGGTCTCTTACACACACACACACACATGCACACACTGTTGGGGAATTCATTGTGTCTTGATGAATTTCTGATGAATGTATTACTCTCATTTATATGCTTATTTGAGTGATTTCAGTATTTTTATTATTATCTATTGTATTATTACCCATACCTGGGGCATTATTATCAGGTATCTGTGCTTTGGTAAATGAAAAAGTCATTCTGTGTAAATGCAGTCAGAGATGAGAAGATAAATTAGAAGAGCCGCATTAATGTCACAATGAGGGTTGATTTATAGAAGCAAGGCTAAAAGGACACCTGCGTTCTGTTCTGTAACTCATGATAAAGCACACCTGTACGTGTGCCCACACTCACGTGTACTGACATCTAAAGAATTATGAGTACCTATGAACTTCAGCTGAACTTACAGTTGACAGCTCAGTGGACAGTGAACAAGATATATTGTTGAGCATTGTTTTTTTGGATGAGTCGTCGCTTTTGAAGCAGGGAGGAAAGACCTTTACTGGACATGGGTAAGACCCCTGAAAGACCCTGAGATTCTATTGGTGGCGGGCACCTGAGAGATTTAAGATCTTATTAGCGGAGAAGCTGATGGAGGTGTGTAATGTGTAAATTTGGGTGGAGTATTAAGACACAGAAATGTATTCAAACTGTGTGCAAGCCTATGTTCAGCAGACACTCGAACGACCTGTCTCTGTTGTTACTGATGCTGTAACAATAAACTGCTTTGCCAAAAGACTTCGGAGATCTCAGACTTTGTAATTTTTTGAAAAGTTTCACTTAGAGATCTTTTTTCCACAACAACACGCACACATCCACCTTATACTCCATATAGAAGGCATTAATAACCTTTTTTTTACACTGCAACTGAAGGATCAACCTCCCAACAAGGAAAACCAGCAACAATCAAGAAAGCATGATTACATGGGGTTATGGCTTTGCAATCAAAAAATGTGGTTATAATGGAAGTCAAAAGGCAAAAACAGCCACGAGCATAACAAAAGGGTTGTAAATTTGCCCATAGTGTATTACTGAAATTTACAAAATTGTCAAAGCATTTTCTTGAAATCAAAATAAGGTGTCACCAAAAATCATCCCGTTTGCTGAATCACAGAGAAGGTCAAATCAATGTGACTCAAAATCATCCCAAATTGGATGGTAATATCTCCAACAGCAAAATTTAAAAATGCTTCTACACCATAAAGATTGGTGTAATTTTTGTGCAGTTTTTACAATTTCTGTTTGCGAGACTGCATACGTGCACATATACCTTAGGTGAAAGTATTAAAATACTTTAGGTCAGATGCAAACCATCAGTGTTGAGGACAAAAGATTTTATTCCTACAATCTTCTGGTCTACCATTTGAGCCATTAAGGCAATATTTAAAAATGTGTATATTTAAAATGTACGATGATGCATTTCTTTTAGTAAGGTGAATTTATGTCATTTGTGGATAATGTGGGGGAAACAAACAGCTCTGGTTGTAACAGATTTATTTCAGCAGGAGTTTGGGAGGTGCAATATAGCAGCATTACTTGGGGAAGAAAACACGCAAGGGGTGGGAAAGATGTCTGCTCCTCTCTTACATGGTCAGCTCCTGAGAACACACACAAAAAGTGAAATATATCACTACCAGTCAAATGGCTTGTTTCTGTTTGTGATCAATTGCCCTATGTGCAGGTAATATCAAATGGAAGCTGAATATCAAATAGTTTGTGAATATCAATATATGCAATATTACAAATATAACGCCATTATAAAAGTAAGTATTGATATTTATATATTGAAAATTATGTTCTTAAAATTAAAATGGCAAAAATATCTATAAGAGATCCAAAAGAATATCCATGTAATTTGGACCATAGATATTTACATTAGATGTCACCTACGCTATTGGTGTCTGTTGGAAGGAATACGTCAATAGAGCCACCATTTTAGTACAGGGTAGCGCTCCTTTGAAATAAAGGTGGGACCAACCAGGACTGGGGTGGGAACGCGGACGTCACCTTATACAGCACAAAAGTCCAGCATCTTCTGATTGGCTTTAGTCTTGACTAGTGCGGTTGAATGACATTTGTCCTATGAGCACTGTACAAATGTTGCGGCGCTATTGACGATGCTCAGGGTCCATATGTGATATCTAGTGTGTATGTCTATCATTTGGACTAGGTATTGAAACTATGTCCGAAGGTAGAAATGCCAACTTGAATCTTATTAGTAGATTAGAAGGGTTTGATTGATGCCATGAGACAGATGGGATTAAGGTTTAGGAAGAAATTGTAACCGAGACCAGCTAGTAAGAGTTTTGCAAGTAAACCTCACTCCACTGGCCACAGGAGGTGCACTAGTGAATTATATTTGAGTCTTTAGCATTCTTGTTAGCACACCAACTGCCAATTATGGAAATGGCTATTTCAATCCAATGTTAAATTAGTAACATGCCCCAAATGCCTTGTTGGCAACTAGCTCTCAGCAATTTTCACATGGTCGCCCACTGAAGCTAAGCAGGGCTGTGCCTGGTCAGTACCTGGATGGAAGATGAAATAAAACTAGGTTGCTGCCAGATGTTGTGTTAATGAGACCAGGAGGGGGCGCTCAGCCTATGCTCTGTGTGGGTCCTAATGCCCTAGTATAATGATGGGGACTCTATACTGCTCAGTGAGTGCCGTCTTTTGGATAGGGTGTTAAACGGGAGGTCCAGAAATTCGATGGTGTAACCCGGTTGTGACTTTATCTTAAAAATCCCAGGATGTCATTGGAAAAAGAGTAGGGGTTTAACCCCGGCATCTTGGCCAAATTGCCCATTAGCCTCTGTCCATCATGGCCTCTTAACCATCCCCATATCATAGTTTACTTCTTTACTCTGTCTCATCCTCCATCTTTGGTGTGTGGTTTGACGCAATATGGCAGTCGTCGCGTCATCCACGTGGATGCTGCACACTGGTGGTGGATGAGGAAATCCCCTAAAAATGTGCTAAGCACTTGTCTTAAAAAGTGCTATATAACTGTAAGAAATTATTATTATTATTAATATTATTATTACATGGGAGTGAGGTTTATGAGTGTAACTGGTCATCTAGTAAACAAGTAAACCTCTATAGCAACTGAAATTAAATACTGCAGTCTTTAGGATACTTGTGCATGCTTCCGATGGTTCAAATCCCTCTAGAATAACATCAGGAGGTGTGACAGCAATGTTTTAGCATGTTGAATTGGACACAATCTGGTGTAAAAGTGAGTATTAGACTGTATCTTTTACAAATACTGTCAGTTATATGTGCTTAATAGCCAATATATGTAACCAATGTCTCACCATGATGGCATTGACAATGTCATTCTTGTTGTGGCGCAGTGCACGGACTGCTTTAGCTCGAGACACATTGGCTTGTGCCATCACCAGCTCGATATCTCTTTGTTCCAGTCCACCTTCGTCCAACTTTTAAACAGAGAATGAGGTTAGTTCTGTCAATATTTCAGTACATTATCATTTCTTCCACGAAAGAATGTTTGAATTTACACCAACGCAATGACAGAACATTAATTTGCAGTGATCTTTTCCTTTCAAAGTATAAAGGAAGGATGTGTACCTCCTCTTCTTCTTCGCTCTCTTCTTTTATAGTTAAGCTTGGGGTAATATCTGATGGTAGAGGCGAGGGGTCAAGAGGAACCTTAAATTTCTCTGCCGCTGCCTTGTGCACCTGCTGTGAAAGGTCCTCGATCTTACAAAGAGAGAGAGATGGAAAGCTCAGTCAACAAAGATCAAGATAAATATATAGGCATTCATCTTTCAAGGAATTATGTGCCATTGCAGCTGGCATTTGGACAATCTTATATTTTAAAATACAAACCTTGGCCTCTCCAAAGACTATGTATATATCTGAGGCAGGGCTTTTGAACACATCTGGACGTGTAATGACGAAGAGAATGTTCTTGGACTTCCGAATAGTGATGCGAGTCACTCCGTGGATCTGTTTTAGTCCAAGCTTTGACATTGCCTTGTAGTGATAACAACCACATGGGGGAAAAGAGCAGGTCAGATATGCAAATCACAGTGAGTCTTAAAGTGGCATGAAACCATTGTAGATGTCTGGTCTTACCTTTCGTGCTTTTTTCTCACTTCGACTTTGCTTGGCTCTGCTTACTGACTCATCAACAGGAGAGGGTGATAACTGAGAGATCAGATGAAGATATGAAGTTAAAAGACACCATTATACAACCTAGCATTGTTTAGTCACTACACATTCACCTAGAAACACTGCATAAAATATTTAT